CCTGTAAAAGGTAAAGCACACACAAAAACATATTGTAAGTTACACTACAATGACTATGTACAACGCAAACCTGTCTATATTAGCAACCGCTAATTATGGCTTCACCACAAAGTGGTGAAGACATATTGTGTTCCCTCATGTTTCTTCTTCTCCTTCTCCTCCTGCCATTTCTTTAAATGGATTCATCTCTGCCATTTTCAGGCCAAATAACACGAAATTTGGCATGAAGGTAGAGTGGGCAAATACCCTGACGCGTTTTTTTCATTTTTTTGTAAAAATTGTTTTATTTGGGTTTTTTGGTCCATTTTCAGGCAAAGAATATACATTTTGAGATCTGGTTCCCAGGTACTAAACCAAATGACCTGAAATTTGGTATGGGGATACCTTGGACATATGTCTACAAAAAAGTCATTCAAGCTTTTGACATACACCACTTTATAATTGGGAAAAATAAGGCTTTTTGGTCTATTTTTCGGACCAAAAATGTACATTTTTGGCTCCTGTGCCCTAATATTAAATCCGAATGACCTGAAATTTGGTATGGGGATACCTTGGACACATGTCCAAAGAATGTCATTCACGATTTTGACATACACCACTTTAAAGTTATGTAAAATAGGGCTTTTTGGCTATTTCCGGCATTGGAAGGTTCCATTGCTGCATGGGGGTGTAGACTATTGGCAGCCATCGTAGGATAGATCCATTTTCGGTATGCGGGATGTGGTGAAGCCATCTGCTGCATTTGCTCTCAAGCAAATGTCGGCCTTTCTAGTTGTTCCTCAGTTCACCTATCTTTTTCAGGTCCTTCCATTGCCAGATAAACAGTTTTTTATACGTTATGAACAGAAAATTTTTGCTTTTATCTGGAATGGAGGACCTGAAAGAGTAAGGAGGAAAACAATTTACAATTCTATTGAAAATGGGGGTTTAAATCTTATCAATGTATTTGCCCATGCACTCACCATTAAAGCCTCATGGGTACCAAAATTGTATTTTAACAAAGACTGGTTTAGTGCATGGTCTTTGAGGATGCACCCAGCTTTTGGATCTGATTTATTTCCTTTTTTTCAACTGAAATCCATACAGCACCTCAAAATTAGTTCTTTTTTAAGTGAAGCTTTAACAGCATGGTATAAATATCAATATAAGACCCCCACAACCCCTGCTGACATCAAACAGCAATTACTTTTTATGAATGCAAGTATTTTAATTGAAGGTGTACCTGTTGTGTTTAATGCTTTCATTAATAGGAAAATTATGTTTGTAAATGACATTTTGAATTCTAATGGTAGTATTATGTCTTATAGAGAATTCTTTACAAAGTATGGGGATATTTGTAACCACTTTAAATACACACAATTAATTTCTGCTATTCCAAATAAGTGGAAATCAATTCTGTGTACTAGTAATACTTCCCCAGATCAAGTACATGTATGTATACCTGTTATGCAGGACAATGTGTGGTTAAGAAAGACAAAAATTAATAAGAGTATGTATACATTCTTTTTATTATCAAATGATCTTGTAGATATTTCTCATAATGTGCAATTATCATGGCTGTACCTCTTTGACATCCCCATCCCTTGGAAACAGGCATATACTTCCTCAACTTACTGTACAATTGACCCATCAGCTAGGTTCTTTCAATATAGACTTTTACACAAGTTCTTACCTACAAACAGACTTTTACATATTTGGAAATGTATTGAAAATCCATTGTGCTCATTCTGCCAGTCTGAGGAAGAAACCTACCTTCATGTGTTTTGGGAATGCCCTAATCTAATTAGCTTTTGGGATAAAATAAAAACTTGGTACTTTCAAAAAACAGGTCAACATATTTATTTAAATAGTTTTATCATTATCTTCGGAAACCTGCTTCCTGGCACCCCTACAATCCAGAATTTAATTATCCTGTTAGCAAAAATCTTTATATACAATAATAGGAAGTCCAACAAAGTAAATTTTGAATCCTTTCTTCGATATATAAATTTCTTTAGAAAAGTTGAATACTATATTGCTGTAAGAAACGAAAAGGTGGAAAAACATCTGGGAAAATGGGGCACTTTTGGTGAGTAGAACTGTTGTGATTAATTTTTATATTAAAAAAAGAAAAAAAAAGGGTTAAAGTACCTCAAGGAGTGATTCTTATGTTTACCAAAGGAAAACATATTGTTTTGCTCAGTTTCTTCCTCTTCTTCTTCTTCTCCAAACAGTGACCTATGACCTGACCAATGACATGATTTGCTGACGTCTGTCACAATGGTGACTGGTGTTGGGTTACATAATGTTGCAATTTCATGGTCTGCTCTGCTCCTGTCACCATATACTAGTAGTACATGTATGTGAATGTGTTTTGAGTAAGAAATAACAGAGCAGACCATGCATTTGCTTTGCAAGTGTTACTTCTCTAGTTTTTAATTATGATTTTTGTCCGTCTCTCCACAGGGCCTCCAGGGAAGCCGAACCCCCCAGAAGTGATGCAGGTGACCTCGGACGCGGCGGTGGTTGCCTGGGAACCACCAATCACAGGCGCGCGTGACACCCTGCTGTCGTACATTCTACAGTACAGGAAAGAGGGTGAGGAAAATGCTCATCATTTCTTTATATATATAGTTTCAACAGCAAATGCCAGGCTAATGCAGTCCTCTCTAGAAGCATCCTTTCCAATGATTTTGGTGAGAAACATTTGAAAAAAGAGTTTCTTGTCCTCTGGCTAGCATAACCTTTTCTTTTTGCTGATTTTGGTAAGAAATGTGTTAAAAGACTCTGTTCAGCTGCAGCCCCTAGCAATGGTGATATAGTCTGGCTATCGTCCTCCTTGGGAGAGACCCTCTGGGTAATTGTAGACAGACACAGAAGTGCGAGAAGAAGTGCTGTTAGTGGAAGGCTTTGAGCCAGGCTAACATAACCTGGTCCCTTTCCTTTTTACTGATTTTGGTAAGAGATGTGTGAACAAGATTCTGTTCAGCTGCAGCCCCAAGCAATGGTGATATAGTCTGGCTCCTGTCCTCTTTAGGAGAGACCCTCTGGGTAACTGTAGGCACAGATGTGCGAGAGGAGGTTCTGCTAGTGGAAGGCCTGGAGCCGGGCAAGTCCTATCGCTTCCGTGTGGCCTGTGGGAACCGGGCAGGCTACGGACCCTTCAGCAAGTCTTCTAAGAGAGTCCAAACAGCTCAAGAAGGTACTGTGTGTCTTTCCAATTTTTTAAAAACCCTCATAAGTTCTCAAAGATACAAGATACTATCTAGTATGTGCTATCATGAAAGTTCATCTGTGTTGGTAGCTACATGTTTAAATTTATAACTTTAGATCCAGCACAATAAAGTTCTCTCACCTAGAACTTTCAACCAGTCACTCAGTAAACTGACGCAGTGGAGCTTGTCCCGTGGCTTCCTTGTGTTTGGTAATTGACAAAATGTACTGTATACTGTATGAGTTCTTGGGTATGCTGTTTGCTTGCCCAATTTCTTGTGATATTTAACAGCTTTTATGCAGGTGAAATGATTTCCTTATTTTCTGCACTCCCCAGGAGGTCCCATCAAGGTGCGTAAGGTGGACAAGCGGGTGGGGCTGAAGCGTTCCCACACCATCGTGGAGCTTCAGCCGGCAACCGACCGCATCATGCTGAAGGACACCATACCTCAGAAACAGTACAACTTCGAGGAGGATGTGGCCAGGTAAGAACACCTGTATTACATACCTGTCTTAAACATCTGTCCTACACACCTGTACCACTTGTATACATGTGCACCTAACCCATCTGTACCACACACCATCCCACAGAAACAGTACAACTTTGAGGAGGATGTGGCCAGGTAAGAACACCTGTCTTAAACACACCTGTCCTGAACACCTGTACTACTGTTATTCACCTAACACACCTGTACAACATATCTGTCTAACACACCTGTACTACACACCATCCCACAGAAACAGTACGACTTTGAGGAGGATGTGGCCAGGTAAGGAACACCTGTTCTGCACACCTGCCTAACACAACTGTATAGCACACCTGTCCTACACACCTGTGTAACACACCATCCCTATGTTATTGTTTGGAAAAGCTGTTGGGACTGTGTGACCCCATCTGTACTGATTATGATCTGTTTCTTCCTCTTCTCAAAACAAATTAAGTCAATGACCTGGACCAGACGTCTGTCACCATGGGAACTAGCATTGATTTGAAGCAGACACCCTGTGGTGATGGGTTACATTATGTAGCAGGACAGAGCTGGAGGGGCTGCTTACCATATATTATACATGGATATGTTTGAGTAACAATAAACAGTAGTAGTTTGTTAGGCTAGACCAATTGTGCGTTTGCTTTGCAAATGTTACCTTTCTAGTTTATAGAGCAGTTCTTAAATGTCTGTCTTAACTCCCTGCAGAGGTCGTTATGCAGTTGTGAAGAAGTGTGTTGACATCATCAGCTCTAAGGAGTACGTGTCAAAGGTCATCCCCATCACACCTGTCAACAGATTAGAGAAGCTGAGGGAGTATGAGGCACTGTCCAAACTCAGGTAGGTTCTCACCTGGCTCAGGTAGGTTCTCACCTGGCTCAGGTAGGTTCTCACCTGGATATTGTAACTCTTTCTTCCAACACATTTACAGTTTACTATTTAGGTTATCTGTTCCATCATTTGTAGGTCTTTCCTGTATACACTAGAGTTTTGTATTATTTTAACATGCCTTGTTTTTTATGGGTACTTTTTATATCTGAAATAAGGAATAAGGAAAGAAAACTCTGGTGCATTCTCACCTATTCATTGTTGAAAAGCGGTGTTATAGTAGCATACATGTAATTACGTAGTCCAGAAGTAAGCAACCCAGCCTCTGGACCAAGAGGTTGGGAGTTTGAATCCCGGCTGTTGTCGCTCACCCGTCAAGCACACTACACTGTCCTTATTTGTTTGTTTGTTTGAGCCTTTATTTCAACTCGATCTGTAACTATGTTACATGCTCTAATCGGCCGCTATTTCGGCCGCTTTTCATAGAGGTCGAGCGTGGAGGAGTGTCGGGGGGTCATAACATAACTACTACTTGCTCACAAATGAAAACAAAGTAATAATTTTATACATAAGGTAACTCACACAAAGTAAAAAAATAAACAAAATGGCAATAACTAATAAATAACTCATAAGTCGTTGTGTCCAAAGTCGTTCAGTCAAAGTCAATTACGATACTAGCAGTCTTTTGAAAGTGCTAAGAGTAGGTGCTGCTCTAACATGCTGCGGAAGAGCGTTCCATACAAGCGAGCCAGAGTAGGCTAGGGATCTCCGGTATGTTTCTCTTAATGGCATCGGTACTGCAAGGAGATCAGTCGCGCTTTGTCTGGTGCTTCTGGTCGCTCTATCCCTACTGGAATTTCAGCAAACTACAGGACATACTTGTCATCAGATGTCGCAAACACCACTTTTGCAAAAATGTACTCTCTTAAAGCAAAGAATCAAATTCTTTGCTTAAAGACATACAATGCAATTTCATGGCAGCAAAACTGGATTGTCAAAGTCAATTTTCTTCTCGTGATTGTTTACAGGCACAGCAAAGTTCTGGAGCTTCGCGATGCCTTCATCACGTCCAAGTACCTGATCCTGGTGTCTGAGAAGTACTACGGAGGAGACGTGCTGCGTTACCTGGCAACCAAACCTCACTACAGTGAGGAGGAGGTGGCTCAGTTCATCACACAGGTGTTGGAGGTGAGGGAGAAGTAATGTCCAACCAAAAAGTGGCTGCAAGACAGTATCAAATTGGCAAGACACTGTCCAATACCCCACCATTTGGCTGGCGAATAAAAGAAAGATGGTACAAAAAAGCCTCAGTTCATCACTTAGGTGTTAGAGGTGAGTGAGATGGAGGGACTTAGGTGTTAGAGGTGAGTGAGATGGAGGGATATCTTAGCCATTTAACACACTTTGCTTGTGTCTAGCTGTTGTGTGGAAATTTGATGTTTTGCAATGTGTGGAGCACAGTTTCAACTGAGTTTGCTGCGTAAGAAGAAAAGAAAATTTGATCTTGCATACCCTTGTGTTGAAATAAAGTTTAGCATCGTACTATGATTACTAGCAATATATGATCTGACTTCCATGATAATTCTAAATACATGTACTAGAAGGGATGAGGGGGAATACAAACTTAACCACGTTTGGGATTGCATTCTCACTGCAAAAGCACCACCTACAACAGCTACATATAGCGTTGAGAAGCAGTACTCCAGTCAAAAGCTCTGAGGAAGATGTCTGATAGACATCAAAACAGAAGTAAGGTAGGAAGAATACCTGGTTGTGTATAGCAAAAATTCCAAATTCCTCTAAATACTAGAGATTTACAAAATGCCCCCACCTGTTCCTGTCAGGCCCTCCACTACCTGCACACACAGAAGATCGTGCATCTGGATGTGAAGCCGGATAACCTGCTACTGGAGAGCAGAAGGAGGATGGACGTCAGACTCACGGACTTCGGCTGTGCCAGAACCTTCCCCAGCAAGACTCTGGGAGAGCTGCAGAGCACACCTGAGTTTGTGGGTAAGAATCAATCAACTTTGCTGCACAACTGCATTATTCTTTTACTGATGTAATTGTGTATTTTATATGTATGTTGTATATGGGCATGTTATGCCTGAAATAAAGAAAGAAAGACAACATGTTTAAAGTTAAACCTTTAGATCCAACACAAAGAAGCTCTCTCATCTAGAGCTTTTGGCCAGGTCACTCTGGTCTTCCTCATTAGACTGACCCAGTGAGGCTTGTCACATGGCTTCTCTGAAGTGTGACATCAAGACTGCGTCAAAGGTATCTGGTAGACAATGTCGGCTGCTGTCACGGTTGAGTCACTATTTCTGGGGGCCAACATCGTCTACCAGATACCTGTATATCACAGATTGACCCAGTTTTGATGTCACACTTCGAAGAAGTCATGTAACAATTCTCACAGACATGACAGAGCAAGTACAAAATGTATAGTGGACATACAATGAAAATGGCTGGCACACCAAATCTTCCAGAGAGTGAAATGAAACTGTACAATGTCTTTATGTCCTATTCTGACTGTTCGCCCCTCCCCCCTGCAGCCCCTGAGGTGGTGAACTATGAAACAGCAGGTCCGGCTGCAGACATCTGGAGTGTCGGAGTCCTGGCCTTCCTGTGGTGAGTCTTACCTCTCTTTCACTCCTGAACTAAAGTACCTGCTACATGGAATGTCAAGTATGGGCATCCAGGAATGAAATTAACAATGTCAGTATTATAATAAGTTACCTGTCAGTTAAGATTTAGGAATGACAACTTGGGCATTCGGAAAGAGCTTCCAAGGCAAAAGCAGTAGGTGTAGGGTGTAGTACCAACAGTTCCCACCAGGAGGCTCTGCAACATGGCACACAACTGAGTCTGTACTAAAACTTGGCCTGTATTCTAGTCTGAGTGCCCACTCCCCATTCCTGGGTGTTGGTGTAGTACCAACAGTTCTCACTAGATGGCACTGCCATATGCTCCCATTTATGATTACTAAAGCTAAGCTTGTTTCATTCTCCACAGCCTGAGTGCCCACTCCCCATTCCTATGTCGGTGTAGTACCAACAGTTTTCACTAGAGGGCACTGCAATATGCTCCCATTAATAATATAAACTACTGTATAAAGCTAAGTTTGTTTCATCCCCCACAGCCTGAGTGCCCACTCCCCATTTCTGGGTGTCGGTGACCATCAGACCATCATGAAGGTTTCAAAGGGCCGCTACGACATCAGCCGAGTCTACAACAACGCCACGCCGTACTGCCGGCAGTTTGTACAGGACTGTCTGGTGCTGTCTCCCAGGTGAGCTGAATCTTTTTCTGTCAGCCCAGGTTCATGATCATACCTTGAGGGAGAATACTCGCAATCTAGGTGGGTCCAGGGACAAATTTTGTATTTTCAAGCCTTTACAAACATGATTTCACACATTTTGAGAGGCAAATCATGGGGTAAAGAGTGGTTGTTGGTAGTAATTTGGGTGTTTTGATATTTTTACTTTTTTTACTTAAGATATTCATCAATTTTGTTCCTGCAATTGACGAAAAAACGGGTGCTGGCTAGAGCCCTGCTACAATGCATATAATGGTATGCCTTTCCCAATTTCTCCCTTGTGTAGTGACCGCAGGCTGTCAGCATATTATCTGCTAAACCACAACTGGCTGATCAACAAACAAGTTTTACTTCCCACAGCCTGGTTGTAGGTGTAGTACCAACAGTTCTCACTAGAGGGCTCTGCAATATGGCATGACAACCCTACTATGCTAATAGTTTGCCTTTCATCATTTTTCTCTTGTGCAGTGACCGCAGACCGTCAGCGTACTACCTGCTGAACCACGATTGGCTGATCAACACGCCGGAGCGCAGAAAACACCGGCAGAGTGCCATCTTCCCCTCGGCAAAGCTGAAGGCGTACGCGGAGGACTACCGGCAGAGACGCGCGGCGCTCACCACCAAGGAGAAGATCGAGATCAGACCCTACAAACACCGACCAGAGACCTTCCACAGACTTCACCACCACAGATAGCTGGGGCAGAAATTAACTAATAATATACTGTATCCAGAGCCATGCTGATCTAGTTCTATGTCTGATCATGATGGTCTATTGTATACTGAACTATGCCTGTATACATTGTAGTTGTATACCTGAATGGCTAAGGGTTAGGATCAGACACAGTTAGTCTCTATTGTATCCAGAACCATGCCTTATAATCTACATGTAGTTGCCTGAATGGGGTAGGGTTAGGCATGGTTCTGGATAGTCTCTGTGTATCCATTGTAGATTTGTCTCAGGCATTGTTCTGGATACACGTGGGCTATACAAAACCATGCCTGAGCATGGTTCTAGACACTCATGGACTATCCAGAGTCATGCCTGAGCATGGTTCTAGACACTCATGGACTATCCAGAGTCATGTCTGAGCATGGTTCTAGACACTCATGGACTATCCAGAGTCATGTCTGAGCATGGTTCTAGACACTCATGGACTATCCAGAGTCATGCCTGAGCATGGTTCTGGATGAATCATGGTTCTGGATACACCTGTACACACTCACCTGTAAAGTAAAATCTCACCCGTTGCCTTCTTCACACATACAGCAAAAACTTGGATTAAACATCTAAACGTCTGGACAAATTGTTCTCTCAAATTTTCAAGCCTAGTTTTTGGTGAAAGACACAGTGCCATGGACTGCGCCATTTTTCTGCCCCAAGAGGGGTGTTTTATAAGGAAGAATATTAAAACTGGTCAGTTTGTGTTGATATAACTTATTAATATCATCTGGGAAATCTGATTTTGATGTTTTGTAAATTTTGTACATTCTTGGCTGTTTCCAGAGATGGCTGGCGGGAGTGATGAGTTGTTGTGTTATTTTTTTGTTTATTTATTTATTTATTTGTTACCTGTAGAGCAGAGATGGATTTTATGTACAGGTCCAAAAGAAAGTTTATAATAGCTTTGCCTTTGATAAAGGTGTGTATCATGACCAGATCTCTGCATAGGGTTTACATCATGCTATATGGTTAATTCTTAATCTCCAAGCAGATCATACAGTGGCAAGGGCAGTATTTATTGGCCAGAGGAGTGTCCATTAGCCACAGAAGCTAATGGATACTGTCTGGCTAATGGATACTGCCTGGCCAATTTGAAACTGTCTTTTGCAGCCACTGAAAGATCTGCTTGGACTTGGAGATTACTTAATTCTTACCTGAAAACAACATGCAACATACAGTTTAACTTCTAGCATGCTGAATTAACCATTTGACTAAGAAATTCTCTATTAGCGATGGGGTTAGGCAGCAAGGAGGTTAAAAAATGCCTGCACTTTGACCATTCTACATGTATCCTTTCCCTGTGCAGAGATCTACATTGTACCTGGTCCAGTTCTGTTACAAGCTTGTTAATTGCAACTGTTCCCCACAAAGTGAGGAGATGCTGCTAGTGTTAGACTGAGTTTGTGCATGGTAGCTAATATAAATATATTATATAATTATATTGTATAATATATCATATAAATTATATTATATCGTATAATTATATATTATACCTACTTTTCATGAAAACCATTCTTTGGATTGTTCCATTTGTAAGCTTTGGAGTCAGGGCAGAAAAAGAAATGTGTCTGTTACATACTTCTAATTAAGCTTATAAATGGAGTATTTCAAAGATCAAAAATATGTTTGCTAAAGATGATTTTATTACATTGTAAAGATATCTGATGGTGTAAGGCCACACCAATTTATATTCTTGGTTGTCAGACAGTCTAGTCCAAATTAACAACAGTTCATATAAACTATGATGTACAGAGACAGAATCGTGTTGATGTTCCAATTTACCAACATTTTTGCATATATCTGAGAACCAAGAAACTGAACTGGTGTGGACTAAGATTGGCATGGAATCCCCAGGCAAAACTGCATCAGGAATGCGAAGCAAAGCAAGGAGAAAGCATGAGCGTGTAGAAACTGACAAATGTGGTGTGACTTGAGATTAAAGCCAGGCTTTACAAAACAATCAACTGCGTAATTTTTCATTGCTGAGTGTTACTAACCCGACTTTCATCTGACATTCTCTCATGCAAAACCTGCCACTTGTATGTGTCTTACATGGTGGATTTCAAGATTTTCTCTTTTATACATGCTTTACGTGAAATTGAATGTTGAAAAGTCATTGTTGAAAATTTGACTTTGTGTACTAACATGTGGGTCTATCTTCTCAAATCGATTTTGCCTGCCTGCTCCCTTAATTTGCTACAGAATTTTCAACAATGAAGAAACTGTATTAAAATCATTGTGGCCTTAGAGATGCTATGTACAGCAATTCACCTGCAGTTACTTCACATTTCGCTAGGTGTCACTGCCTAATTATTACTTACTAGTACCCTTGTGTATGGAAAGTTGTACAATACTAATGTTTAGAACACAAAAACAAATCTTTTCATATGTAATTAACCCTAATTCATTCAAACACAGCTTCTATTGTTGTGTATTCTTTATGTTTTGTAAGTTTCAACGTTTGATCATAATTCACGATGTAGAACATAGCTAGTTGTCTGGTTTTAAATAAACAGTTGTGGAGTTGTATTTTGGGATGTAAATAAAAGTACAGAGGAGATTGGCATGGTAACCAATTGGTATTAAATGCTGGAACTGGAAAAGGCAAATTTTGTACTAAGATGGATTTGACTGAGGGAAACATCTTGTAAGACCGTAGCACACCTACAATGGGCACGAAGAGGTCTCTGTGGATTATGAAGACGAAAATCAAACAAGTCTTTAGAAAATGTCTTTGTTGGTCTTATTGCTTATGGTGGTGCTTCTTTTCCCAACATAGTTTCTAGATCTGTGGCAGAAGTAGATAATCTACACTAGTGGTCACCTATATTGTCAAACTTGTACTATTGACCACCTCTTTCTTAAGCTGTTCACATTCTTGAAATGTTGGGGTTTGCATCTGTCTGTTTTGAACATTTAGCAGACATCAGCCATTGAATGATGGCAGGCTGTGGTCTAGATACCTTTGCAAGGCCAGAATTTCCAGATGTTTTATGATTGTTCATTTTCTGGTGTTGGCAGGCCTGCTGTAGCCACAGCTTCAGCGTTAGGGGATGCACCTGCTGCATGTTTAGGAGAGGCAGCATTGGCAGTGGGAACCTTGTTGGACACAGTTGTAGCCATTCTTGGGCTTCCTACTCCAACAGTCCTGACNCACTATGAAATCTACGTGGTCATGAAGGTTGAACAAATGGCACAGAATATGTTATGGCGAATAATCTACTCTTCGAATTCATTTCTTTACATTTTTGTCTTTTATCCTTTGATTTTGGCATTCTACGACATTGGTATTGTTTCTACATGTTTTCCTTGCAACTTATGGTATATTTTTGCTCATTTAGCAACTGTTTTGCACAATTTACAGTATGTTTTTTGGAAACGGCCGAAAATTCATGCGCGCGCGGATGTCATCCATATAATCAAATCAACATGGCCTTACTGATAACGAGTGGCTTCTCAGTGTCCCCCATCAATCTGTGGAGGTTTTCTATCATAATGCCCTGTACATCATACAGAGGTGATCATGGCTTACAAATTATGACTAAGTCGATCCAATCTGCAAGGGTTTTTCATCTGAGGGATTGGAGCAGCTGAAGCACTAATAAATTGCAGAAGACATGCATCCTTTCTCCTTTGCAATCATGCATGACATCCTGCAGCATATTTGCATATTGCACACATGAAATTACATGTCAGCTTGGTACACTTAAAAAAAAACAAAGCCAATTTTTTTTGAGCAGTAAGATAAAATTGGAATATATTTTTCAACATATATGAAAGAGATGGGTAAGATAAAGGTGAACTGTGATGCTGGGTGAAAGGGGTTTAACCCAAGCATCACTTTATTAGGGAATTTGGGGCAGTCTGACATGATCCTCTTGTTGGGATACAGCGTTCTTGTTGCTGTACATTATACAAGTTCTAGTCCAGACCTTAGTGACTGATTCCCCTTGTAGACGGCTTGGAATAATGCCATGGGAATTTAGACAAATGAACTACCTTCCAAATGTAGGCACTGGCATCACTGGGGCCACTGATGAGTAGGTATTCTTCACAAGGGCTCAGGGCACATCTCACATCGAAGCTGGAGCCGTGTCCCGTGAATGTTGCCACTGCAGGGGAAGTTTGTTCCAGTCATGACTTAATGAAGGTAAGACCAGAAAATCAAAGAATTGTAGTTTTGAAGCATATAATAATGAGTCTACATACTATGTGAATCATGTGAAGAGGAAACCATGCAAACACAAGATCGTTGTTTTCACCAGTTTACTATCAGTGTAACCACTGATTTTGTATTTGTATTTATTATAAATGAAAATGACTCATTACACTGGGTCAGCCAAGGCAGCTAACACTGGTAACAGCTTATCCACAAGAATACAGACAAACGTACAGCTGATACCTGACTATCTAAATCACAGCTGAGCAGACAACAACCATTTATAGCAAGGTGCAAGCTGAGACCTGACGTATAATACCTACCAGGCTGGGTTTCCATGCTGTGACAGTTGTACATGTAGATTGCACTGTCTGTACTGAAATTGTAAATGTGTGTACAACTGGCAAACAGTCTTGTACCTGCTGAATCCACAACTAGGGAGGAGGAACCTGCGATTAAAGAGAAAGGGTCACAATCAATTAAATTCTTAAACTGGGTAGTACATGTACGATACTCGGTAACAAATCCTTAGGTCAACCTTTCTATTTTAAGTACTGGGTGCTTACTCAGGATTAACTACACTTTGTTGCCACAAGATTCTGTAGAAAGTTAGTTTCACATCCCACAGGTGTCATGTAATACCAAGAATGCATTGACAGTCAACAAGGTTTTACAGAATCTTATGAAGATCAACTGACCTCTCTCCTGGACACGTGTTCTCCATACATGTCCAGTATCAGGGTGAAATGGCAGAAGTTGTCAGAAGTTAACATCAGCTTACGTCATATGTAACTTCGTACTTTTTCGTATTTTGACTCTCCTGTCGGCCTGCTATCGGACGCATCCGAAGTTCTCCGAAGTTATGTTATGACGTCATCCTAACTTTAGACAGTCTCCCGGGAGGTGGCAGAAGTTGTCGGAAGTTGTCCGAAGGTATGACGTCATCCTAACTTTAGACAGTCTCCCGGGAGGTGGCAGAAGTTGTCGGAAGTTGTCCGAAGTTATGACGTCATCCTAACTTTAGACACTCTCCCGGAGTATCAGGGTGAATGGTATGAAGTGTCGGAAGTTACAGTGACGTCACGTAAGTTCAGACAACTTCGGACAACTTCAGACACCTGCCACCCTACCCCACAAGTGTCGGAAGTTAGTGATGTCACGTAACTTCAGACAACTTCAGACACCTGCCACCCTACCCCACAAGTGTCGGAAGTTACAGTGACGTCACGTAACTTCAGACAACTTCGGAAACCTGCCACCCTACCCCACAAATGTCGGAAGTTACAGTGATGTCACGTAACTTCAGACAACTTTGGACAACTTCAGACACCTGCCACCCTACCCCACAAGTGTCGGAAGTTACAGTGACGTCAGACTTTACTCCCGATAACCCCCAAAACCACTCGGAAATGGCCGTATAACTTCGGACAACTTAAGACAACTTCTGCCACCCTAACTTCTGCCACTTCACCCTGATACTGGACATACCTGAGCATGTTCTTGGACACGGGAAGCTGTGTTTGGGGATGGGTGTGTACTGGTAGGCCGTGTAGTTCTTCCTCATGTCCCACAGCTTGATGGTACCGCATGGGCTATGATGGGCAGGATGCATACTTAGTTCTACTCTATTTTGGATTGTTCATATTATGTGAACTAAATCTCTTCATGTCACATATATCTTAAGGGGTTGGTGTAAGACTATCATGATCTGCCAGAAGAAAACTAATCAACCGATTTCTAACATCACTCAATCACTAATCACGTAATGTATCTTGAAATAAAATCTGCATGCAACATCTTAAGAACTGCCCTACAAGCATTTGTAAGTGACACAGTATGCCTTACTGTTCTAACACAAGTGATTTCTATCTGCGCCCTTTATCAAGAAATCAGGGTTTGACTTTCCAGATGTAATTTCAATGGAAAATCAAAGATGAAGAGTCATCTTTCCTTTGCATGAAGGCATATCCCAGAACAATGGTCACTGGACCAAAGACTGCAAAGAGGATGAATTTGTGGTTGCTGCCAACTCACCCGTCTGCCATACTGCCTGCTGAGACTATAGTGTTTTCATCCTGGTACACCACACATGTCACACCATCATAATGCTGCTGTGGGGAGAGGACAGTTGCCAAATTAGTCATGTCAATTTGCTTTACCTTTGGTAATAACATTTCTGGAAATAAACCATTTCATCAAAATATGACTTCAGTATCGAAACACATCGGAAACATTTTTTGAAGCTAACAGGATACAAGATACCCAAGGTGTGGATGGTACTGGATGCGGATGACCATTGCGGATGGAATTCACTGGTCCGTAGAACCCACCTACATACAAAAGGTAAAGATGCTAGGTAATTATACCACGTACAATAAGTAAACAAGAAGATACATGCACCTGGTAAATAGATAAAGAGCAAGGAGTTCAAACATGTTTGTTATATGAACTCATTGCACTTTCACACCAGTACACTTGAAGACTTTGAACAGTGTTAATTGTAACTGCAAACCAAAAACAATCTGGACAAGCAGAAGTCTGTGGAGAGCTCACCATTATGATTGCATCTCCCATCCCAAACCAAGATATTCCTATCTCTGGCTCCTGTGCAGAAAACCCCTGCAAAGATAAATGTGTAGAAGTACAAAATATAAGGAGTGACAGGACTTGTCGAGTGATAGGAAGAGCAGATAAATACACACCATGTTATTAGATGGTTAACTTAAAGTTCAACAGGTGATAGAAAGATAGAAAGTTCTATAGATAGTGCAAGGGGCAGTAGAATTACATTCCTTAATCATTAAGCTTTAATGGTGAAAAGGAATTAACAAAACTGACTACGCAACAATGTAAAGTGACAAGAGTATCAAATGAGAATTATTGAAAGTGTAGAATTTTACATTTGTCGTTTGTCCTGAAAGATGCAGACATCACACTTTTTGTGTGCCCCTTGAACACCCCCATCAGATTGGTGGACTCCATGTCCCACATCCGAGCTGTCTTGTCACCCGAGGCTGTCACCTGGTAATACATGTATATACAATTAACTTCACAAGTCTGGTCAATGAACAATCAATACTTCAGCTTACTCTCTACTTCTCTTCTAGAAAATTGCATACATTGAAACTTTGTATGTGTATGTCATACACAATTACATTGGTTTAGATTATCTCCTACTTTATAAATCATAAATTACTAAACCAGATTAGTGCCGACATACCATGATGCTTTGGTGAGGTGACCATTCGAGATCATGGATGACATTGCCATGTCCCGTCCATTCTGCAGAAAAATAAAATGGACAGTTTGGTTTACTTAGTATTTCCCAAAGATGTTTACTCATAGCTTGAGGTTAAAGATGTTCCACTAAGCTGATCCTGATGACACAGCAGAAAACAGAAGGTTATTTTTACAACAAGGATTTCTACTTACTTGAAAACTGGCCATTGCACTTGTCAGGCTTTGTACAATAGAGTCGAATGAACCCATCCCAGTCACAGACACACAGTACATGCCCCTGGCCAGGCACTGGGGAAGAAAAAGTTGTTAGCACATTTCACAGAGATCATAGCATTTTACATTCACAATGTATGACAAGGGTGCTTTCTTTATTATGCTTGCAAAAAAAAAAGAAAAAACACACCTGATCTCCAAGCAGGTCATACGGTGGCAGTAGCCGTGGACGACTCAAGTAATCCTTATGTATGATGATACAGGATACCGAGTCGTGAAGCACGCCATAGACCAGATTCAACTTTTGCCGTGCCGTGCCGGCCCCGGAATTTTTATGTTCCTGGCTTCCCGACGCACTCACCTGCCAGGCCAGGGGGGGTGGGGGATAAAACCCTAAACAATCGCTAGAATCGGCCCGCGAAACAGGTCAGATCCTGATTTTATGAGTTATTTTCAACTCTCCAATGTTCAAGTTGTAAGTAAGACGATGTAATGTGTAGTAAAATCAGGGTCTGACCTGTTTTGCTGGCTGATTCTAGCAGCGTTGAATTCAATATGGTGCTGATCGCTGATGATTTGTATGGAGTTACGGCACGGCAAAAGTTGAATCTGGTCTATGTAGAGTGCTCCACGACTCAGTATCCTGTATTATCATACACTAGAGTTCCACGATCTCATACCTTCGCCAAATGATGTTAGCTTTTATGATTAAGAAATTATATATTAATCCCCCTAATTATGCAAATAGGATCCTCAATTGCATGAATTATATCTGTTGATCATATTCTCCACCAAAAGACAGTCTTATCTTAACAAAGAATGCCATGATGAAATTTTCTCATAAATTATGCAAATGAGGTCCTTATTTGAATAAGTTATGTTTAATTATGTTCACCTTAACTTAACTTTCAAACACCCCAAGTATAAAATTCCAGGCAGTTACCACTATGCAATTATAATATTTTCTCATTAATTATGCAAATCAAGTCTTCATTTGCATAATCGATACTATCTGCCTGTGTTTCTCTCATTCTCAATAACATGTCACAAGCTTGAACTTCCTATTATGGAATGCAGCTGACAAATAGAATTTCCTCATTAATTATGCAAATTACATCCATATTTGCATAATTGTAATATCATTATGTCAAGCATCACTCAAGCTACCTACATACTAAAAATCACGATGATCCATCCATCGGTTCTTGAGTTATCCCCCTTTAAACATGTGTCCATTAAACCCCCCTGCAGTTCTAGAGCAAGCAACTAGGGGGCTCAAACTCAGGTCACTTTATCCCCAGCACAAGAGCTATCTACCATCTAAATTTCGTCACCCTAGCATGTCTGGATCATGAGATATCAAAACCGGAAGTTCTGCTGCAGTACCATGACAAGCTGCCAGGTGGCCCAAAATCTAATCATTTTGAGGTCTCATCAAGACCTACCCACCTACCAAGTATCAAGACAATCCATCAAGACCTTCTCAAGTTATCGTGTTGACAGACAGACACACACACACACATACACTAACGCCCCTGAAAACATAACCTTCTTGGCGAAGGTAATAAGGATTACTCAAGTCGTCCACAGCCAACGGTGGCAGGAGAAGAGTGGTGGGGGGAGATGTTTGTATTAAGACATTGTAACTTAAAATCTTGCGAGCAAAAAACGTACCTTTGCAGAAGCCTGTCGCTAAAGGAACATGCCCTATTCCCTGTGGAGGGAATAAAAAAAGAAACTGATGTTTGTCACTGTATGCCGACTTTCCAACAACATAGTAACCTTGCCGCATATCTACGACTGAAAACATTTAAACATAAGTAATTACATGGGTTCTGTTAAGCATATTTTGAAGCAAACACTGAAACAGGCGCTGAAATCTCCAACTTGACACTGCATCCGGTGCTGTGTTACGGCGGGGAAACCAGGCGTCCCCGCCGCTGCAAATCTGTCGGCTTGTAAGTCTGTAAAATTCGTCAAAATTGAAAAAAAATTACTGCTGAACGCTGATAATACGTTGACTATCACATGTAATCACCTATAGTAACATAATTTCATCTTAAATTGAACACAACTTGGGGGGACATAACCACTGACGGGGAAACATCCACACCGACGGGGAAACGTCCACACTGACGGGGAAGAGACGTGACGGGGAAAAGACGTGACGGGGAAACGACCAGCTACCATGACTATCACATGTAATCACCATGTCCATGACATACTCGTCCCCTCGGGTACACACGAACCCATTGATGACACTGTCCAACTTTCCTCTTGTGCTTCCTGCAATAAGGTATTATTACCCAACGATAATTATTTCACTTCAGCAGAAATGAATGAGCTAACACATATCAATTTACATCATCACGGTCGATTTATCTATATCTACGACGTGGCTTTGACCAAGCCGGGAAATATCAGCTGTTTAATTCTGCTATAGAGGCTTTTCATTGACGTCATGATAATTACCATATGAATCCCGGTGACCATGTGTTGGCGGGTAAATTGATTAAGTAGCAGCATGTTGGCAAGTTTAACAGACATTCACTACAGTGAATCCAACATGGCGCATGTGAAAAGCCTGTATAGAAAAAAATATTCTCCACTGAATATAACGTTACCTATTTTATGGATATATATATACACGATATTTCATGGTTTAGGAAGCTACAGAGTCCCTGATGAGAGCCCACCTCTCACGCCATGCCTGTCCGAGGCTCCCCACACCCGACGCTCACGAATAGCAGAAAACAGGCCACTTCTCCTCCCAAACATAATTTGTTGTAGTGGACACAACTCTTTTCCTTAGAAGACACAGTTTGGACAGCCGCCTGAGCACACCCCCGGCAGCGTCCTGTGGGAAATGCGAAAAAAAAAAGACAAAACACGCGCCAAATCGGCGCCGTTCAGGCATCTGATTGGCTGATAGAGAAAGTCGCTGTTTGATTGGTCAGATTGCTGAGCTTTTTGCCATCTAACATTTCTTGCCCTTCATGATAAAAATGCCTAAACAATCTCCTGTTAAAAAGTGTACAATATAAAGCTTTTACTAATACTTTTCTCCCCTATAAATTATTGATATGTTCTAAATCGATTCCCTCCCCTCGGTCAAAGGTCGCCATACCATCAGTAACCCGTCTGGGTAAGGGTACCATTTAAGTCTCACGAACATGCAAATTAGCATCATGCAAATACTATGTAAATACGATGTATTAAGCTACGTAGATATCAATGAAGACAATGGGGAAAAGCGGGAGAACATATTAAGACAACGTAGGAAAACGTGGAAAAAAACAGTAGATCATGGGACAAAGCACTGGACATCACAGGAAAAAGCAGGAGATCATAGGAGAGAGCAGGAAAAAGCAGAAAATTGGTGGAGAAAGCAGGAGATTGGTGGAGAAAACGGAGATTGGTGGAGAAAGCAGGAGATTGGTGGAGAATGTAGGAGAAAGCAGGAGATTGGTGGAGAAAGCAGGAGAACGAAGGAGAAAGCAGGAGAATAAAGGAGATTGGTGGAGAAAGCAGGAGAAAGCAGGAGATTGGTGGAGAAAGCAGGAGATTGCAGGAGAAAGCAGGAGATTGCAGGAGAAAGCAGGAGATTGGTGGAGAAAGCAGGAGATTGCAGGAGAAAGCAGGAGATTGCAGGAGAAAGCAGGAGAATGGTGGAGAAAGCAGGAGATTGCAGGAGAAAGCAGGAGATTGCAGGAGATTGTTGGAGAAAGCAGGAGATTGTGGGAGAAAGCAGGAGATTGCGGGAGAAAGCAGGAGATTGGTGGAGAAAGCAGGAGATTGCAGGAGAAAGCAGGATATTGGTGGAGAAAGCAGGAGATTACAGGAGAAAGCAGGAGATTTGCGGAGAAAGCAGGAGATTGGTAGAGAAAGCAGGAGATTGCAGGAGAAAGCAGGAGATTGCGGGAGAAAGCAGGAGATTGCGGGAGAAAGCAGGAGATTACAGGAGAAAGCAGGAGATTGGTGGAGAAAGCAGGAGATTACAGGAGAAAGCAGGAGATTGTAGGAGAAAGCAGGAGATTGTTGGAGAAAGCAGGAGATTGGTGGAGAAAGCAGGATATTGCAGGAGATTGGTGGAGAAAGAAGGAGATTGTTGGGAAAGCAGGAGATTGCAGGAGAAAGCAGGAGATTGCAGGAGAAAGCAGGAGATTGCAGGAGAAAGCAGGAGATTGCAGGAGATTGTTGGAGAAAGCAGGAGATTTGTGGAGAAAGCAGGAGATTACAGGAGAAAGCAGGAGATTGGTGAAGAAAGCTGGAGATTCCAGGAGAAAGCAGGAGATTACAGGAAAAAGCAGGAGATTGCAGGAGAAAGTAGGAAATTGCAGGAGAAAGCAGGAGATTGCAGGAGATTGTTGGAGAAAGCAGGAGATTGTGGGAGAAAGCAGGAGATTACAGGAGAAAGCAGGAGATTGCGGGAGAAAGCAGGAGATTACAGGAGAAAGCAGGAGATTGGTGGAGAAGAGGAGATTNTTAGCATAAGTGATAAGTGATAGTCGACCTTAGTAACTCCATATTCATATCCGTCCATTTCCATAGATTCATCTGTATCCATTTCATACTCGTCCCCTCGGGTACACACGAACCCATTGATGACACTGTCCAACTTTCCTCTTGTGCTTCCTGCAATAAGGGATTATTACCCAACGATAATTATCTCACTTCAGCAGAAATGAATGAGCTAACACATATCAATTTACATCATCACGGTCGATTTATCTATATCTACGACGTGGCTTTGACCAAGCCGGGGAATATCAGCTGCTTAATTCTGCTATAGAGGCTTTTCATTGACGTCATGATAATTACCATATGAATCCCGGCGACCAGGTGTTGGCGGGTAAATTGATTAAGTAGCAGCATGTTGGCAAGTTTAACAGACATTCACTACAGTGAATCCAACATGGCGCATGTGAAAAGCCTGTAATAGAAAAAAAATATTCTCCACTGAATATAACGTTACATACCTATTTATATGGATATATATACACGATATTTCATGGTTTAGGAAGCTACAGAGTCCCTGATGAGAGCCCACCTTTCACGCCATGCCTGTCCGAGGCTCCCCACACCTGACGCTCACGAATAGCAGAAAACAGGCCACTTCTCTTCCCAAACATTGTTGTAGTGGACACACTCTTTCCTTGACAGCCGAAAAGAAGACACAGTTTTGGACAGCCGCCTGTGCACAAATTATGTCCGGCAGCGTCCGGTGGGAAATGCAGACAAAACACGCGCCAAATCGGCGCCGTTCAGGCATCTGATTGGCTGATAGAGAAAGTCGCTGTTTGATTGGTCAGATTGCTGAGCTTTTTACAATCTAACATTTCTTGCCCTTCATGATAAAAATGCCTAAACAATCTCCTGTTAAAAAGTGTACAATATAAAGCTTTTACTAATACTTTTCTCCCCTATAAATTATTGATATGTTCTAAATCGATTCCCTCCCCTCGGTCAAAGGTCGCCATACCATCGTCTGTTTCACCTGATTCTTCCTATCGTGTAGCAATATGTAGCTTACACTATAAACATCCATTGGTATGAAATAGGGGGTCCAAACGAAATGTAACTAAACTGTTATGTTGGGTCTCTTCATTCCTCTTTTACGATTACGCAGATGTAGTTTTCTTCTTCTTTTCTACCAGACTCCAATGGACGGCTGTAAAATTGGTAGAAATTGGCAAAACAGGCTGAACGAAATACATTGTACCAGAAAAGTCAGTCGGCCATAGCCTGAGTGTCAGCCTTTTTAGCTTTCGTTCGCGGCCGGTAGCGGATGGTGGGGAGCGGACGAAAGCTAAAAAGGCTGACACTCAGGCTAAGTCGGCCATAGGATAACAATTTGCGGCCCAATTCATCAGCCTATTACTGTAAGAGTATATTTGCATTGTCCCTTTCGGAATCCATTGAAGTCCGAGAGAGACAACTGAAGAAGTGTTACGAGCAAGATTGCACGTGGGCTACACAAATACTATATGTTTAAATCGCACCAAATGTAACCCAACACCAGTGGCTGTAACCCAACACCACTGGCTATAACG